GGCCCTCCCCCTCCCCCCGCCCTTCTGTGGCAGGCCGCAGGTCACCCGGAGTTGCCCCGCAAGGAGGTCAAGCCCGCCCGTGGGCCGCCGCCCGGGGCTGTGTGGAGGGAGCCCCGGCACACCTTCGCGGCGTTCACCGGCGCGCCTCCCGCCGTCCTCCGCTTCGGAAATGCTTGGAGGCCGACGCGCAGGACCTGGGGGGGGCTGCCACCCGCTCCTCCCCAGGAAACCCAGGCGGCCCCGCCCTCTGTGCCGCTGCTACGGTCTGTGTGCCCGGGGCCAGCCGGCGCTCTCCCGGAGGGCCAGCGCTCGTTCCAGTGTTTGCGCGGTTGGCATTTCCTGGCACGGGCAGGCCCGTCCCTTGGCACAGCGCTCCTGCGGCGTGTTTGCTTCCACTCCCAAAGTCAGGCTGCAGAGGTCGAGCACGAGGCCCGCCTTGGGCCGGGGAGCCAGCGAAGCGTTTTCTAACCCCCAAATTAAGAAAACTTAACTTTGAGTTTTCAGCCTCTGGCCTCAGAATGTTGGACATTCTGAGTCCCTGTTGAATCTGAGCCTACAGGCTCCACCTTCAAGAGGTGTATTCCAATTGGTTTGTTCAGCATCAGCTGACATCAGTTCCATAAGGCTTGTGATTGGAGGAAGCTAAGTCCCCTGAGTGTAGGAAGCTAAACCTTGTGACTGAGGGAAGCCTGTTTACAGAGGTAACATACAGCCGTTTTGTTCTCTCCTCAGCTATCTCAGCTTACTTCCATGTAAAAGATGCCCCTCAATTTTTAGTGTAATGATTTAAGGAAAAAGTCACATCTTATACATGGAAAAATACAGTAAATGTTCATTTGTAAAGGGTGAAATTCTTAAAAAGACTTTTTGCTTCTTCTCTAGTTCTTCAGAACCTATTCTGCAATTCAATTGCAAACTCTAGGGAGCTAGAACTCTATATTTATTATGATGTAACTTTGGCAGCTGTCAAAACATATTCTCCAGTACTGAGGAAGGAAGAAATCTTAAGAGTACATGTAGGAAGCAGAATGTGCTCTCTGGAATATCTTTCCCAACCATTTAAGTATGTGTAAATGAATTGCTAGTGTAAATGAACTGCTAAACATATAACACAGATAAAAAATAAATTGGGATATATGAGGACAGTGTTCAGGCCAATACTAAGCCACAACTGCTGGTACCATCTGAAACCAGTCACTGTCAGCTCTTCAACACCTACAAGAAACACGTCAATACTCTTGCCTAGACATTAACAGATCATAAAAGATTTCCAGCAGTCAAGATGATGCTCCACTGTTCCTTGACATTCCCCATGACAGTTTAAAGAAGTGTATCAAATGTGAATGTGTAAAATTTTAATTTATATAGGTAGCAGTATCTTTTTTAACCTATGAAAGATTTTGATTCCTACATATGAGGTATACAATACACTAATCTGAATATATGAAACACGGTGCGGCTAAAAAATATTGTAAATAAATAAATAAATAAATATTTGACCTTTCCGACTTTCTACAGACATTGTGACCGATGAATTATTCACTTTAAATTCGACTGTATTCTCTCTTTAACTGTGTTAGTTCATGATTGTGTAGCAGTCATTACAAGGTATAAAATTAAGTATTTTAGACTCTAGGAACAAGCATGCTAATGTTACCTTCATGACATTTTACACTATATTTAACAGAGGTTTTCAAAAAGTGCTTTAGATTCCTTAAAAAGCTGAGGGAAAAAGAAAGAACTACAATCTTCTTTAACATGCACTCTACATACAGTGGTGCCCCACTTGACAAATACCCCGTTTAATGATGAATCCACATTATGATGGGTTTTTTTGCGATCACAACGATGTTTCAATGGGGTTTTCCCGTTTGACGATCGGTTCCCTGCTTCGGGAACTGATTTTTCGCTTAACGATCAAAACAGCTGATCGTCATGTTTCAAAATGGCCACCTGCTGTGCTTTAGGACGGATTCCTTGCATTACAGGCACCGGAAAATGGCCGCTCTATGGAAGATCTTCACTGGACGCTGAGGTATTTCGCACACTGGAACGCATTGAACTGGTTTTCAATGCATTTCAATGGGCTTTTTCATTTCGCTTGACAAAGATTTCGCTTAACAGCGATTTGAATGGAACGAATTATCCCCGTCAAGCGAGGCACCACTGTATTTGTAGCAACATCTGGGACAAGAAAACTTGGCAAAGGCATAAAAAGCTTTTCACATGGTGTGATTTTTGCAATGGCAAAATTAATCGCCCACTTGCTACTTCTATAATTGAAAAAGAAAATATATTTTGGCTTCTTCAGACCCAATGTTCTTGACTAGTTTTAGGAACAAAAATGAAGCATAATGCAAAGGGAAAACATGTTTGGGTGAGCACATCATGGTACTGAATGAGAAAAAGAAGTGAAGATACTTTTTTGATAATGTGCAGCCATTTTTATGCCAGAATGCCTGTTTTCCAAGCCCCAAGAAAAAAACTGCTTCCGATACAAGGTTAAATACATCCAAGTGTTGGAGCGTATGTTCTAGAAGAAAATAACCCCCCTTCTTGGGTTTGAGGATTTAGCCAGCCCCGTTACTCAGTTTGTGCCAGCCCCCCTCTTGGCACTAGTGGTAGGAAGAGACCGGTGTTCCTCAAAAGCTGGTGCTTTTTCCACACCTCCACTCCTCCTGAGACTCCTGTAGCAGGATGAGACTCAAAGAGGTGCTGGGCGGAGCAGGGCCGGACCCAAGGGGAGCGTAGGCGCCGCCTTGTGGTAGAGCGCGTGCCCGCGCACAGCCAAGGAGGTGAGATGGCATCGAAAGAGCTGGGCAGGCGCGCGCTCCCACGGCAGGAAGACGCCCTCAGCACCGCGCGGCTGCTGTCCAAACCCCAAGCCTCTGCCGGACTCTTTGATGGCCTCTTCTGCTCCTTGTCGGGCTCCACAGTTGGACTGAAGCCTTTCCTTCTTTCCTTCCTTCCTTCCTTCTTTCTTTCTTTCTTTCTTTCTTTCTTTCTTTCTTTCTTTCTTTCTTTCTTATTTCTGCTGGGCGCCCCCGCGGTACAAGAAGGGGCAGTCAAGCCGGCCTGCCTGCCTCTCCTGCAACCAGAACTTTGGAAAGCTGCTGTTTGGGTGGGAGTTCCCAGAATGCCCGAGCAGAGGGCCCGGCGCCTGCCTGGCCACGGGGGATTCTGGGTGGGTGACTCTCCTCCGAAAAAATAGCGCTCGGGAGCTATTCTGCAGCAACCCTGGGCAACCGCGGTGGCCTGAGGATTGTGGGGGCGGTAGACCACAAAGCGGACGTTTGCAAACCCTGCCTGCACGCGCCGGCGGACCTCTCCCCGACCAGACGAGCCGGGGGCGCGCACGCCGAGACCGCGCCGGGACTGAGCCCCCCCCCACCCCTGCTCTGTAGTCCCTTTGGCACAGGGCTGGGGGTGGGGCCGGGCCTCGGATTGGCGGTCCCTGCAGCCGGGAGATGCTCCGCATGCTGCGGGCGCGTGCGCACTGGTCCTTCTCGCTCGGGCCCGCCTGGCTGGCCGGCGCCACGGGTCCTTTGATCGGGCGGCGGAGGGGCGTCCGAGACCTGCCCGGGACCCTGGACGAACGGCGGCCGGGCTGGAGGTGCGCGTCCAGAGACGGTTCTCGGGCAGGGAAGGCGGCGCGTTGCATGCATCCCCCGTTTGCATCCGGACCTCGATGCTTCGCCTCTTCAACAGCAGAACCGCTCTGGTTCCCGCGGCAGCATCAAGGCGACCCTTGCACGGCGGCTCCGGGAGGGAGGGAAGCCCCCATCCCTCCGCTCCCCCACATCTCGCCGGCTCCTGCTAGCCTGGTGCTCCGGCCGCTGCGGTTGGCGAGCGGGCTCGGTCGCGAAGGGATCCAGCCATCTCGCTCCGCTTCTCCCGGCCTGCGGCGCAGCGGCGGCCACTCCTTCTCGGCGGAGGGAAGGTGCCTCGGCGGACCTAGCCGTGCACGCGGCTGGGGGGTCGAACTGCCGCCGCCCCCACCCCAGGCGCGCACCGCTGGCCTTTGGGGCACCAAGCGCCCCCTTGAAGAGCGGCCCCTTTCCCAGCTGTCCGTGAGCAGCTCCCTTGGCCCCTTCGTGGAGCCCGGAGCAAAGGCGGCCGCCCTTTCCACACGCCCGGATGGGAAGCCTTTTCTTCGCAGAAGCCGGCAGGGCAAGGGGCGGAGGGGGCGGGCTCCCGAGGTGCCGCCCAAGAGGGGCCCGATCCAGCCTCAGTGGCCGGCAGGCGGAGGGGGCCGAGGGCAAGAGCCTCACCCCGGAGCCCGGCTTCACAGCTCCCTGTCCTGGGACAAGCAGGCCTGGGTCGCTGCCTGCGGTAGCCAACCTCTGCTCCCCCTGTGCCCCTCTCGGATCCCCTGGGAGGCAGAGGGTCTGGAGGGGGGGGGAGACCATCAAAGGAAGAGTTCCTTGCTGTGAATTCTGCCCCCACCCCACCCCAGAAACCCCCAGCCATCAAGGCTGCTGCAGGGGCTGCCTGGGGGAATTTTGGGAGCCCTTTAAGGTTTCCAGCCTCTGCTGTCTAGCATGCCTAGTGGTGGGGGTCAGTTCCATCAGTCAGCAGGCTGAGAAGTGTGAGCTCAGGGCCCACCGTGAAGGTCAGTGTCGAAGGCAAGAGCGCTCACCTCGTTCCAGGGGGAACCTCCTCCTACCCTATTTCTGCACCAGAGGACTCTCTCTCTCTCTCTCTCTTTCTCTCTCTCTCTCTGTGTGTGTGTGTGTGAGAGAGAGAGAGAGAGAGAAGGAGGTGGAGGCGGTCCATGAAGGCACATGGGGGCGGGGCGGAGGAGGAATGTTTGCCCGCTGACCCTTCTGCTTGCCCCTCGTTCCAGGCCTTCCCGCTGCCTCGGCCATGAGCGGCAAGTCCCTGCTGCTGAAGGTGATCCTGCTGGGGGATGGGGGCGTCGGCAAGAGCTCCCTCATGAACCGCTACGTCACCAACAAGTTTGACTCGCAGGCCTTCCACACCATTGGGGTGGAGTTCCTGAACCGGGACCTGGAGGTGGACGGGCGCTTTGTGACCCTCCAGATCTGGGACACGGCCGGGCAGGAGCGCTTCAAGAGCTTGCGCACCCCCTTCTACCGGGGGGCCGACTGCTGCCTGCTGACCTTCAGCGTGGACGACCGCCAGAGCTTTGAGAACCTGGGCCACTGGCGCAAGGAGTTTGTCTGCTACGCCAACGTGCGGGACCCCGAGCACTTCCCCTTCGTGGTGCTGGGCAACAAGGTGGACAAGCTGGAGCGGCAGGTGAGCCCCGAAGAGGCCCGGGCCTGGTGCCTGGAGCATGGCCGCTACCCCTACCTGGAGACCAGCGCCAAGGACGACACCAACGTGGCCGTGGCCTTTGAGGAGGCTGTCCGGCAGGCCCTGGCCGTGGAGGAGCAGCTGGAGCACTGCCTCCTGGGACGCACCGTCGACCTGCAGGCCAGGCCCAAGGCCAGCTCCTCGTGTTGCTGAGGGAGGGGGCCGCAGCCGTGGCCCCTGGGGCCCGGCCGCCGGAGAGACGAGTGGCTGGAGAGGCCACGGCAGGGCTGGAGCGTGGGGCCGGAAGGGGACAGGCAGGGA